GTCATTTAGATGGATGGGGTCGGGTATGGAATCTGCAGAGAGGAAAAAAACAAACATGCTTCAATGAGACACATGTCTTAAACTAGGCTTGAATATTGATACAGTCTTAATCATGAATTATTATATAGGTATATTTTAAACATGAAAGAAAACGGACTCACTCCGGTCAAAAGTGGCTTTGGCAGACTTCATCTGCCAATCAATGATCTGGAGTTCGAGCTGCCACTGCTTTTGTTTCAGAGCAGTCTTTTCAGCGACGAGGTTATTCAATTCAGCTTCAAGAGCCTTCATATGGGCAACATTTTCAGGATCATGTACAGCATCATAAATGCTTTTCACAACTAGCCCGATGAATGGAACGATTGCGGCGAAGATGCCGAGGCCTTTACTTTTTTGGGTTATGGATCTGGCAAATTCTTGAATCTCTTGGCTTTTGCTGTTTATCTTTCTCTCAACTGCAGCAAGCTCTTCAGTGGTTTTTTGGAGTTTTGATTTCAGATCATTCAGGGTATTTTCAGTCTGCTTCATTTCATGGTCTTGCGCTGTAATCTTTTTATCAGTATCTATTTTTTCCTTGATAACATCACTGGTGGATGATGCTACATCCTTGTTGTGTAAATCATACCTACACAATGTTGAAGAAATCTTGCCATGAAATTTACATTTTATAACAATGGGCTGGTGTAACTAGCTTAAAAGTTTAGCTTAAAACATGTTCATAGTTTTATGTGATTAAAGAATTTTCATATAGAAAAAAAAATGTAATTGCTCAAGGTATTTTGAAACATGTTTTCATGAGGAAAATGTTCTTACTTTTCCACTATCCTGTCCACTTCACTGATAATTTCTTTGATCCAGACTCGTGCTTTCGCAAGAAATTTGACTGCCAAAACTGGCTTATTTTTCTCCACAGCTTTCGTCAACATGGGAAACAGTGACTGAACCAGGTTTTCACTTGTCAAAATACACTGTGAGAAGAAGGATAAGACGTGAGATCACATATCTTAGACTAAAAAAAAAAGACAGTGGTGATTAAACTTACAATAAGCATACTGAACTGAGATGATGTGTACAAATTTTTATTTTTTATATTTTACCTAAAATGTCAATTTAAAAAGTATAAATTTTTCATGGCTCACATTATGACACATTATGTATTTATTTACAGTTATGACACCTTTTTTCTAGGTGACAGAGATAAAAAATACTGTAATCAAGAGAAAATCTGAAACAGTACTTTCAACATCGTTGCATCAGAGGAGCCAAACAGAAGCTGGGTTTCCACAGCCCGACTCCTGATGATCCTCTCCAGGTTGGGGAAGTTGGCCAGGCACAGGTAAGAGAGATGGTAGAGAAGAGCTGTCTTTTGAGCAGCAGGGAGGAGCTCTTTTACAAATGTGGGGCTCCACTGGGACACAGCCACTGGTGAAAAAAACATGGCATATTTTTAAAGACAGAACAGATCACATTGATGGCTGGTATTGTTTTCAAATCTGTTGAAATAATGAAATAAGACAATACTTGCTTTTGCTATCAGCCATCCTTAGTAGGTTTACACAATTACACAATGTGCAATGAGTTCTCCTAAAATGC